TTCATAAAACGATACTCTTTCGCCTAAAAGCTATTTTAAAATTTAATGTGAAACACGAAATCTGAATAATAATAATAATAATAATAATAAATATAAAGGTATATTTTGCTGAGTTCCGTGAAGCGTACAGAAGGATTATCATATGTTCGACAGTCATAGGTACAAGGAAAGCGCCAAAGAAATTTGAAAGTCACAGTGCACTGGTGCGTGGACAGAAAAGAATACTCGAAGGTTAGAGTTGAACGGGATTGAAAGCTCCAATTCAAGTGAAACACAAAGTGGAGAAGTTCCCTGAGGACAATGATGAGGATGGCGGAATTCTCCAACAAAGCATTTCAGTGGAAATTTCCCAAAACAGGAATCGGTGTACAAGATAAACGGTTAATGGTTTGAACGTGCGGTGATCAGGTAGTTAAATGAGGAGAGAAGGTCGGTAGATCCATGTACAGGAAAAGATGGAAACAAGTTCAAGAACAGAAAGGATGAAGCATGACAGAGCTGAAGAGTCTATTAGAGTAAAATAATATTGATGATAATTATAATAATGTATATTTCGCGAAGCGCATGAAGAATGCAGAAAGCATGATCATATGTTCAAAATAATTATATGTACATCAAAGGTGCAGATATATAGAAGGCCCAATTCGAAGATATACACAATGGAGACGGCGGGGGACCGGGATGAAAACGCAGTGTAAATGGAACACAAAGCAGGCAAGGTCACAGACGCAGATGTGGAGGATGCAGGAATACTATGGGTGAGCATGTCAACGGAAATTGAAGGAAGAGCGAATCTGTACAGAAAACGTGCGGAATCAATGGGAAAAAAACACGGATCGACGGTCTGTGAGGAAAAGAACGGGAGGAGATGGAAACTCGCGGATAAAAATGAATGGGAAAGAAGAATACAGCGAGTTCATGCAGTTCTGAAATACATGTTTCTCTGTCAGCTGCATAACAGCTTGCTTCTGAGAGCACATTCATTTGGGTTTCGGGGCTTCGATCGCCGATGGATTGATTTAGATTATTTAGGCGTTGGTCACTTTGATGTGGGATTGACTACACGCTAGACACCCAACCTTAAAACACCGTTTAGGTGAGGCAGAGGACGTGATCCTCAACCTGGTCCGGAATGCGGACGCATGTAGTCAAAACGCATTTATCTTAATTTTCCGTCTTGACAGCTGCGTCTCTTTTACCGTGTTCTGCATTCTAACTCGTTCTTTTTATTGTGTTTGTTAATATTGATGCTGCTTTGGCGTCATGCAAAAACTAGTGTATACTTCCAGGTCGTATTAGACGCATTGGTAGCGTGGTCTGCGGTGTGGGGTCTTCCTTTGAACGCCGCGAAATGCAAGGTACAGTGAACCGTGAATGGTCAAGTACCAGGGTCACGCTACACTGGAGATAGGAACGAGGAGACTCTGGCGGTGTCATCAGAGATCAGAGATCTAGGGTTCAACCTCTATATTGATCGATCTGTGAAAGTCCTTCCTGTAAAGCCCAGTCATTCCATCTCGGTTCCACA